CCGGCTATTTTTTGGTTGCAGCCATCATTGTTTGGCGGGTCCGGGCTGGGGATTCGAACCTGCCACCTTAGGTGTACGTGGCTGGCGCCTTAGCCGGTTGAGCTATAGGCGCCGAGCCTGGATGCTTCTTAAACAGTTAAACATACAACCCAGCAGTTCCACTCTCAAGAACCTACCCAAGGAAAAAATAATCCATATAAAAACTTGCAAGTGAATGTTTACAATTATTAATAATTGCTAAAAAGTGAAACACCCAAAAGTTCATCAATTGATAAATGGATAGACAAATGTGGTATATCCAGACAATGAAATACTAGTGAGCAATGAAAGGGAATGAAGTACCTAAAAATGATATGTAACATGGATGAATCTCAAAAACATGATATAAATGAAAGAAATCAGACAAAGAAAGACCACATACTTACAATTCCATGTATATGAAGTAGTAAAAGCAAATCTATTATAGAGACAGATTAGTGGTTTCCTTAGGCTGGGAATGGTAATGACTGCAAATGGGCATGAGGGAACTTTTTGGGGTGATGGATGTATTCTAAAATTGGACTGTGGTAATAGTTGCACAACTGTGAAGTTTACTAAAAATCATTGAATTATATACATAAAATGAGTGAACTGAATTTTATATACATAAAATGAGTGAATTTTATATTTAAATTATAACTCAATAATGCTGCTAAAAAATCCAGAAGCAATAAAAAAGATTAATGAACTACTATATAACATTACAAATGTTTTATATGACTGAAAAATGACCATAAACAAAGTACATGTAAAAGACAACTGACAAACTGAGAGAAATATTTGTAACACATACCACAAAGTGCTAATATCACTAATACATAAAGAACTATTAAAAGTCAGGATTTCAATTATTTAAAAAAAAAAACAGAAAATAAGTGTTGGTGAGAATATGGAGAAATTGGAAACTATACACTGCTGGTGGGAATGTAAAATGGTACTGCCACTATGGAAAACAGTATGGCAGTTTAATTTAAAAGTTAAAAACAGAATTACCATATGATCCAACTATTCCACTTCTAGGTATATACCAACAGGATTTGGAAGCAGAGAGATGAATGGCTATTTGTATACCCATGTTTTTTTCTTTTTTTCCTTTCACTACTGCCCAGGCTGGAGTGCAGTGGCTATTTATAGGTGCAATCATAGTGCACTACAGGCTCAAACTCCTGAAGTACCTCTGACTATAGGACTACAAGGCCTTAACCACCATGCCCAACCCTAACCCATGTTTTTTTTTTTTTTGAGACAGAGTCTCACTTTGTCACCCTCAGTACAGTGCTGTGGCATCACAGCTCACAGAAACCTCCAGCTCTTGGGCTTAGCCGATTCTCTTACCTCAGCCTCCAGAGTAGCTGGGACTACAGGCACCCAACACAATGCCTGGCTATTTTTTTGTTGCAGTTTGGCTGGGGCCAGGTTTGAACCCACCACCCTTGGTATATGGGGCCAGTGCCCTACTCACTGAGCCACAGGTGCCACCAGAACTCTAAACCATATTAATAGCAGCATTAGTCACTATAGCTAAAAGATAGAAGCAGCCCAAGTATACATGGATGGATGATGTGTATGTATATACACACAAAATGTGGTATATACATACAATGTAATATTATTCAGTCTTAAAATGGAAGGAAATTCTGACACATGTTGTAGTATGTATGAACCTTGAAGACGTTATGCTAAGTGAAACAAGTCAGTCACAGAAGGACAAATACTATGATCACTTACATGAGGCACCAAGAGTAATTGAATTTATAGAGACAGAAAGTAGAATGGTGGTTGCCAAGGTCTGAAGGGAGAGAGAATGGAGAGTTATTGTTATTGTACAGAGTTTCAGTTTTGGAAGGTAGAAAACATTTTAGAGATGGATGGTGGTGAGTACTGCACAATACTGTGAATATACTTACCACTGAATTGTATACTTAAAAACTGTTAAGATAGTAAGTTTAACATATATGCAGATATTTCCAAGTTCTACCTGCTCAGAGGGTCCAGAAGCAGTGAAACCCTAGTAACAATGAGAATAGCTAGTGCCAGTGCACAGATCTTGGTTTCTAAACACTATTATCTAAAAAAATAAACCAAGGCTCCTTGGAGACATGGTTAAGTCCAGAACTGGAGCATGGAAAATGCAAGATGGGTTTGAATCACAAAAGCCAACCCAAAGGAGCTCCTCATGGACAAATGAAGAACAATTTGAGCAATAAAACAAATGACAGTACTAGATATTAACCAACGGAATAAATATCCATGCATCTATACAGATAAAACTTGTCATATAAATAAAGGGGGATAAGAGACAGCTCTTCTCATAGAATTCCAATTAATAAATCTCCAAGGCCATAATCCATGCTGTTTCTATTACATCAGACTGCTTCAAATATAACTGGCTAAGTCCTAAATATTTAGAAAGGTTGGTAAGATCCATACCTTGACACCAAGTGCTATCAGAAACCTTAGTAAATCAGGGAAAAACAATTATTATTAGGAGAAATAGCCTCTACTACAATACACGTTTAAAATTAATACATTGACTCTTACTTCATAGATCCAGGCAGGGTACCTCCATGGGCTTGTAGCAATAAGACCTGTAGCTGTTGTACCTGGAAGAAGCAAAGAAAAATAATCAGCCAGCCACCAAGCAAACGCTACTTATCCCTTGGCAGTGAAATTACCACAATTAGCAGTAGGGTAATTTTACTCAATGCCTGTGAAATCTAAAGCAGATTTTAGATACTACAGAAGGCATGAAAGTTGTAGAGTCCATGATAAAAGAACAATTGACACTGCATGAATAGCTATTACTTATGAGTTGTCTCTTTTATCTTAACATCTTTAGTTTTAATTGAGCACTTTTTAAAAAAAAGATAGGGGTCTAGCTATGGTGCCCAGGCTGAGGTACAGTGGCTACTCACAGGTGCTACAGTACTGCAATCTTGAACTCCTGGCCTCGAGGGATCTTCCTGCCTTAGCCTCCTGAGTATCTGGGGAATACCTATCTTTTAAATCAAACTCAGCACTGGGATGTACATGTAGGGGCATATAAAAATAAAATATGGTCCCTATTCTCAAGTTTATATATAATCTAGTTGAGGAAGGCAAGCCTAAAGCCTAAAATAGTAGGAAATAATATAAAGCCGAAGATGGTAAATTGTCAGGAATAGTTAAGTACTTTAGGGTTCTAAGAAGCAGCAAATTAACAAAACGCTAAAAGTGTCAAAGGGAGGCTTCACAGAAATGAATCTTAAACCAGAGCCCATATGCAAGCATCCTCTCCCATTCCCTTCTATGGCACAAGAGGAGCTGTTCTACTTCCTAAGACTAGACTCTTTGCTTGTACTTTGGATCCCCACTTCTCTTGCTTCCTTATGAATCTTACTGTTATTCCTTCCTTCTGTATTTTCTATATAAATTTCTATAACTTCTCCCTGTCTACAAGATCCTTCTTGTTAAGATTAAAACATGGGCCAAGTACAGTGGATCATGCCTGTAAATCCTAGCACTCTTGGAGGCTGAGGTGGGAAAACTGCTTTAGCTCAGGAGTTTGAGACCAGCCTAAGCAAGAGCAAGACCCCATCTCTACTAAAAATAGAAAAAATAGACAGGCATTGTGGTGAACACCTGTAGTTCCAGCTACTTGGGAGGCTGAGGCAGAAGGATCATTTAAACCCAGGAATTTGAGGTTGCTGTGAGCTTGGCTGATGCCATGGCACTCTAGCCTGGGAAAACACAGTGAGACTTTATTCATAGGATGTCTTCCTCTCCGTGCCAAAATGCATGGCATGGCTATGCAGATATGCTGCATAGCCACACCCATCACTAGGTCTTATTATCAGGGTAGGGCTTATATTTAACAAATGTATAGAAATCCTGCTAGGGCTTATTTTCTGGGTAGGTCTTCTTTTTGGGGAAACATGGTACAGAGGGATGACTATATCATAGAAAACCCTGACCTGTTCCACATTTTCATCAGACACTATAGCACACTATTCCAGTTCATAATTATATAATATTGTATGATTATGAATTTAGTATTTGCCTCTCATGCTAGGCAATAAGTTTCACAAAGGTAGAAACTATGTTTGCTTTGCTCAGTAAGGTATCCCAGCACAGTACTTGGCACATAATAGTATTCAATAAATATTTAATGTTGGAATGAATGAGCAAATAAATGAATAGGAAAAAGGGGATTTTTGGAAATAGGAATAAACATGAAAGAAAATAGAGGGATAGAACTGAGTTTGGTTATTTTATAATTAAAATGATACTGTGGACAGGTAAATTACTTATATTCTCTATGTGAATCCTAAGAGCAAAGGAGATAAAGAACAAAACAGACTGTAGTACCAGCTACTCAGAAGGCTGAGGCAGGTGGATCACCTGAGCCCATGAGTTTGAGGTTGCAGTGAACTACGATGACACCACTGCACTCTAGCCAGATGAGAGAGCAAGACCCGGTGTCAAAAAAAAAAAAAAAGAAGGAAGAGGAGGGAACAGAGAGGAAAGAAAAAGATTAAGTAAATAGTAGTTATCACTGAGGAAGAAGGCCAGGGAGGGAGTGGAGTGAGCACAAAATAGTTGAAAAACACTAGATTTCTGGTAGGAAAAATGATATACCCTAGAAGTCAATAAAATTTGACCTCCTCAAACCTGCATCAATCCAATTGCCTGCCTTCTCAGCTACTCTGCCAGGGCTACAGGGCTGTTACACAACCAGTCATATTGATTGCACCACAAATTCATGCTCCTAGTCAGCTACCTCTCTTGTTTCTGGTAACAGTGATTTCAAGCCTTTCTGTGATCTCTTCAAGCCTTGTACCCTATTATCTGACTGTTCTTAGAAGATGACCTTGCCATCTACTTTTGAAACAGTCATCAAGCTAAAAATCTCTCAGTTTCCTTCTCCTCCCTCTAAAGTAGTGTCACTGTATTCCTTCTATCCTAACCTCCTTTCTTGTAGTCTTGGTAGCACGTATCTCCTCTAAAGTCTAAAGCAAATCATTCTTTATTTGTAATTAGAATCTCAACTACTTAGAGAAGGCCTTTTACCAACTAGTCCCTATTCTCCATTTCAGTCTCTCTCAACTGGTTCTTCCACTTGTTCAAGTCTCTTCCATATTTAAAAAACATACACCTATATCCTTTGACCCTTGACTACCTGGCTATTGCCCTTTTTCATTTTGCCTTCTTAAAAGAAGCTTCCTCCACTTCCTTATCTACCACTCCATCTATTGTATTCTGTAGCAGCCTGCTCTTATTGTTACCTTCGCTTTCGTCTCACTGAAGTCACCAATAGCCTTCTTGTTAATAAAAATCAATGAATATTCTCAATGTTTACCCTCATATTTCTTTATAAATTTATATTTTTGAAACCCACCTTGAAATGTTCTTCCCTTGGCTTCTGTGACAGCACTGGTTTTTTTTTTTTTTGGAGACAGAGCCTCAAGCTATCACCCTGGGTAGAGTGCCGTGGCATCACAGCTCACAGCAACCTCCAACTCCTGTGCTTAAGCGAGTCTCCTGCCTCTGCCTCCCAAGTAGCTGGGACCACAGGCGCCCGCCACAACACCTGGTTATTTGCAGCCATCATTGTTGTTTGGCGGGCTGGGCTGGATTCGAACCCGCCACCTTAGGTGTATGTGGCTGGTGCCTTGGCCACTTGAGCCACAGGCGCCAAGTCGACAGCACTGGTTTTTGTTTCACATATCTACTTATTAATCTCATTGCTTTCTCTTTTTTTCTCCATTCCTTAAATGCTGGTGTTTCCCAGAATTCTGTTTTTGGCCTTTTTCTCTTCTTTATTTGCTAATTCAACAATTATTTAGTGAATACCTTTAATGTGCCAGGTACTCTTTGATCTCCTCTACTCCATAACTTTAGATACTATCTAAATACTAATAACTCTCAAATCTCTATCTTCAGCTTAAGTCTCTCTACATTAAACCCATACTGCCAGCTATGCTTAAATATTTCTACCTATATGTCCCCTAAGACCTTCAAATTCAAAATGACTGAAACTGAATTCATCATTTCCATTTTTCTATCAGAACCTGTTTTTCCTCCTGTATACGCTGACTCAGTGATTATCACTATCATTCACTCAGTTGCCTAAGCAAGAAACTTGGGAACTACTTTGACTCTTGCACCACACTTCTTTCCCCATATCAAATTTGTTACCAAGTAAGCCTGATACATTCTATTTCCCTTGTTTTTTGCTCTAATTTGTCCCCTTCTCTTCATCTCTATTGCTACTAGCTTTATTTCAAGCCATAGTTCTCACCTAGGTTATCATAACAGGCTAATGTATTTTCCTTACTTCTGGTCATGCCTACGTCTAATCTACTTTCTTCACACTTGCTAGGGTGATCTCCTTAAAATACACACTTCATCATGTCACTATTTTACATAAAGCTCTTCAGTGGCTCTTCAGTTTTCAAGACAAATAAGGAACTTCAGAATTTGGCTCCTGTTCCGTCTCTCACTGTTTACTTTTTTATCAGTGAAATCTCTAATGCCTTCCCTAATCTTAAGTAGACAGAAAACATGTTAATAGGAGTTACTTTTAGAGGTCCCCAAACTAACATAATGCTTAACCATCTCTAAACTCCTGATAAAGGAGAAACTGAAAAATAGAAACTCTGTCATTCCATTCACATACTTGTAATTTTTCCCATCAAATTTTAAGTCCCTTATACCTGTTGCTTTAGATGATTAAGTTCAGCTGTCTGGGGATCAATATTAACAATAGGTTTGTTCTTGATTTTTCTTGCTCTGTCAGCATAGCGAAGGGTATTTAATGTTTCCTCTAGATTGGAGTCAGCGGGACTCACACAGGCTATCATAAGAGTATGGCTATTCCCTCCTAGAGAATCTGAAAAACAAATCAATAAAGAACAACAGAAAGAAATAAAAAAAGTTGTCCATTTGAGTTGACAACTTAAAACTCAGCTATAAAAAAGTTCTTCGATATCTGCAATTTCCTATTTATGCCAATGCAAAAAAACACTAAGATTTCTGCTATGTAAAATGATACAGTTTAGAATCCTAATGCATGTGTCCCCATTTTTAAGATTGACTGTGACTTAAATTAGGTTAAAACATCTAAGGCCTTGCCCAAAAAGTTAAGAGCCACTACTGGGATTAAACATTCTTAGGATGCCCCCTCCAGGTGGATTTTAATTCTCCAGGAAATTCTGCTTAGCAGAATTAAAGAACAGTAACTAAGTTCATTTTCTGGTCCAAAGTACTAAGTACAGTTGGCACTCTATAGATTTCTTGGCTTTCAAAGTCATATGAAGACATCTTTCCATTATTTCAGAAGCCTGCCTGCCAATAGCCCTCTTTCCTACTTATCAGTTAGACAACTCTGTATGTAATAGTCCAAATAACTGGCTTTTTATCTGCTTCATCTTTTCTTTTTCAGCACTATCATTTTGAGGTACTCTTTCTGAATTTTGGAGGTACTTTGGGCTTACCTTGAAGCAGTCGAGTCAACTTGGAATCTCTATACGGCACAAAGCCACCCTTTTTGTCATCTCCAAGAGCACTGATTACATTACCCAAGCACAGTAGGCCTCGATTAATATTAATACCTAAGAGCAGAAAATAAAATTTAAATTGCTTGGTAAACATCAAACATATACATACATTTCTTCTGAGAAAGAAAAGAAATAAAGACCCCATAGAAAGGCGCTGAGGGCATTCCCAGCCCACGGTTCCCTTTTGAGGACCCTCCAGGTCCAGAGGCGCCTGGGGTCTGGGATCCGCAGACCTAGGGCCGGGGATGCTTGTGCTTTTCGTTCCGCCCCCTGCCTGATGGATGATCCTCTCGAGAAGCCCCTCAGCTGAAAAAAAAAAAGACCCCATAGAAATATTAAGTCTTAAGAAATATTAGAAATGGAGAACCAAGAATCTAATGTACTCAATTCTAATATGAAGGCAGTAGATGATTTAATACAAGGTGGGGGTAGGGGTTTGAGGGAGTAGGGAAAGGGGAGGAGTTAGGGGGATGAGGGTCATGGTGTATGGCACATCTCTTGGAGGCGGGACACAATTATAAGAGGGACTTTATAACAAATGCAATCAGCATAACCTAATTCTTTGTACCCTCAATGAATCCTAAACAATAAAAAAAGTACAACATCAAAAAAAAGAAATATTAGAATATTAAGAAAACTTCTCAATCCTATTCACTTTTCTAAGTAACTCTTTAAGTTCAAAGGACAAAGGTCCAAATGTTGGATATGTACAGTTGAGCTCATTGGTACTTTTTGCCCTTTCTCATGGGAACAAAGACAGACAGATAACTATCATCATGACAATAATCAACTATATATTTACTTTTTATATAAATTACTACAAACTTTAAATTAATGCTGTAAAACTAGATAGACAGCTATTTCTTACCATCTTATAATCATTATTTTTACTATCATTCTCATTTCATAGATAAGGAAATAAGCTCAGAGGTTCAATGGTCCACGTAAGGTCAAACATCTAGTAGGTGGTAAGCCTGAGACTCCATCTTAGAATTTTAGTTAAGTCTTATGCTCTTTCCATTATACCATGCTGCAATACTTTGCCTATTTTTGCTTTTATAAGGGTAAAGATTCTTTTTCATTTCATTTCATTCTAATGTTTTCTTTTTAAATATACTAATTTGTGAAGTTCCTCTAAAACATCAGAGTTCCTACATTTACTGTGAAATGGGTATATACAACAGTATAATGGTGAATTACTTTGGCTAGGTTACAATCCTGGCTTATCACTGACTAGGTATATGATTTTTGCTAAGTTCTCCCATAAAATAAGGCAAATCTACCTACCTTATTGGGTTGTGGTAGAGAATTAAATAAGACACTATATATAAAACAAAAGTTAGATGATAAATAAATGTTGTTTGAATGTTTGTGTGCCCTCCAAAATTCTGGTTGAAATTGAATCCCCAATACAACAGTATTAGGAAATGGGCCTTTAGGAGGCGAGTAGACCACAAAGTCTCTGCCCTCATGGGTAGTATTAGTGCCTTATAAAAGAGCTGGGTGGAACCAGGGGCATCTAACTGTGGCCTGCAGCTGGGTATGAATGCTTACCTATGGTGGTACATATCACAAAAATTACAAACACCTTTTTTTTTTTTTTTGCTCATCAATGTTCGTTAGTATTTGTATACTTAATGAGTGGGCCAAGACAACTATTAGATAAGCATTTATAGCCAGCTGTGGGCTATGGTAGAACACCCATGATTGCTAGCCCTTTTGTACTTTTGTCCCGTCTCCCATGTGAGAACACAGCATTCATCCCTTTTTTCCCATTTGTATATAAGGATGTCACAAGAAGATGTCCTCAGCAGACACTGATTCTGCTGGTGTCATAATCTTGGACTTCTCGGCCTCCAGGAAGCACTATGAGAAATAAATTTCTATTGTTTATAAATTACCCTATCTAAGATATTTTGATACAGCAGCACAAATGGACCAGGACAAACAGTACCATTATTGTTAGCTCTATACTTTTTACAGCCATACTTTGGACTCCAAAATAACATGAAACATTTATAAGATTTTGAATTCCAAACTCTTCTCTAACTGCATCCTACTATTCCTCCATTTATTTTTTTTCTTATGTTTCAGATTAATATGTGGGTACATATGATTAACTTACATAGTTTGCTTTTGTTTTTTTTTTCTTCTTCTTTTTTTTTTATTCAATGGTAACTGTGTACATTAATGCACTTCTGGGGTACAGTGTGGGGTTTTCATACACAATCCAAAATACTTCCATCAAACTGGTTAACATAGCCTTCATGTCATTTTCTTAGTTATTGTGTTAAAACGTTCATATTCTACTCATAGATTCACTTGTACCCTTGTAAGATAAACCACAGAAGTGAACCCTCGAATCCTCTTCCCTCCATCCATTCCCCCCTCTCCTCTCCCTCCCCCCACCCTGTATCCTTAGGTTGTTATTAGGTTATAGCTTTCATATAAAAGGTTTAAATTAATTTCATAATAGGGGTGTGTACATTGGATACTTTTTCTTCCATCATAGTTTGCTTTTGTAAGGTTAAAGTTTGGGTTGTAGTTGTGCCTTCACCCAACAAGTATACAATATACCCAGGCAATGTATCCTATCCTTTCTTTCATGAATACTGTCCTTTTCCCTTTTTGTGACTATCAATTTACTGATACTTTCTAACATTGTCAGTAAATCAGCCTTTTCTGGGCCTTAAACTCCTATTCTGAACTCTATGGTCAATCATTTCAGTTATGCTTTCCTGAGAACTCACTGGACCTACAACCGTCTGCCATTACCACCGTATCAATTCCCAACCATAGGTTAAACCAACTGTGTGTGTGTGTGTGTGTATCTACAGATTGTAATGCTGAAGAAATAAATAACATAGCCAGATGGACAGCATCCACTATAAACACAATGTCCAACCTAAAGTTTCTACTTAACTAATCTAATCTAATTCACCATGGCAGCTATTCTAAATACTCATTTTTAAGATTATAAACCTACTTTCACTTTCTATTGGTAGATGATTTTACCAAATACTTTACGGAGATCAAAGTTACTCCCAAAGGCTCAACTTGCCCTCTATCTCACATTCTTTCCTTTGCTGTTAACCCATTCTTTCATCCTTCCACTTGCTCCAGAGGAAATAGCTGCTTTTATTTTCAAGGGTCTCCCTTCTGCTTCCACCCATGTTTCTATTCCCTCCATTTCCTCTGCGATCCTGGATCCTTTGATCTTCTCTTTATCTTTTGGATCTTCAATTTATTTTCCCTTCACTAATTCTTTCTTTTCAGTTCATATGCATGTTCAAACCTCCCCAATCTAAAAACAGAAAAACAATTTCCTCAAACAATCATTCCTTTATTCTTTTTATTGCCAGTTGGAAGACATACCATTACGCAGAGCCATTTATCCTACTCAGGACTTGCCAATACCCATTCTAATCCATTTTCCCACCCGCCTTTCTAGCTAAACAGAACATCGTGCTATCTTATTGGCCCATATCCCACCTAGATGTAAAGGAGAGACTGCTGAAGTTCTTCAAAACTGCTGAGCAAAATTTCTTTCTTTTTGAGAACAGAGTCTCACTCCATCATCCCGGGTAGAGTGCCCTGGCATCATAGTTCACAGAAACCTCAAACTCTTGGGCTCAAGAGATTCTTGTGCCTCAGCCTCCCGAGTAGGTAGGATGACAGGCATCCACCACAACACCCAGCTGATTTTTCTATTTTTAGTAGAGATGGGGTCTGGCTCTTGCTCAGGTTGGTCTTGAACTCCTGACTTGCACATTCACCCTTGAACTCCTGACTCAAGCAATTCACCTACCTCCCAAAGTTCTAGGATTACAGGCCTGAGCCATTGTGCCTGGCCTTCAAAATTTCTATCTATAGTTTCATATAGGAACAAAATATTAATAAAATTCCAGATGAACCCTAAGAAGAATGTATGGTTATGATCTAAGTAAGAACCATAGTATTAAGGATACAGTAGGCAAGTTTTTTCTTCTTCAAATGAGAGTTGGGGCTCTAGAATAGAAAAAAGCTGAGGGATATAAATGTTTCTCTAGAAAGAAATCATCACAAAACAAGATTTTATTTCCTGTTGCTAAGATATGAAAATGTTAAGTTATTTACAACAATGGAATATACATCACAAAGACTGGGAAGACATGTTTGTAGAGACTGAAAAGTTCTGATCAAGCTCCGCTATGAAGAAAAATGCCCAGATAAAATTATACAATCAGAAGTTCTTTCCTCTCAGGCTTGGTGCCTGTAGAACGGTGGTTACAGTACCAGCCACATACACGGAGGCTGGGAGGTTCGAACCCAGCCCAGGCTAGCTAAACAACAATGACAACTGCAACAAAAAATAGCTGGGCATTGTGGCGGGCACCTGTAATCCCAACTACTTGGGAGGCTGAAGCAAGAGAATTGCTTAAGCCCAAGAGTTTGAGGTTGCTGTGAGCTGTGATGCCATGGCACTTTCCTGAGGGCCATATAGTGAGATTGTCTCAAAAAAAAAAAAAAAAAAAAAAAGAAGAAGAAGAAGTTCTTCTCTTTGTAAAATTGAGAAGAGATCAAGTAAGGGAAAGAGTAAAGAATACTACTCAACATTTTGGGGTGTTTGTTTACTATGACAACAAATAAACAATAAATAAAGAATAAAAGAAAGATTTAACTTCAAAAGGGAAATACAACTTCACACCTATCATGGAGGTACATTATAATGGGTTTTACAACTGAAATAAAGGAGTATATTTGTAACAAGAGAGAAAACCCAGGTAGGAGAGAAATGAAAGAAATATCTCTACATGCAGTGGTTCTGGTTCTCAACCGTAGGCAGTTCTGCATCCTAGAGTACATTTCAGTTGTCATAATGTGGGGGTAGCGTTTGTGCTACTAGTATCTTGTAGGTACAGGCCAAGGATGCTAAATGTCTTACAACGCATAGAGAAATCCCCCTAAACAATTATTTGACCCAAAATGTTAATAGAGCCACAGCTGAGAAACCCTGCTATATATGTGAAGAAAATGTACAAGGCAGGTGGCATAGCCAAGTAAATTAAGGTATG